CAATGCTATTGACTCTATTCCCTATTTAAGTGACAATAGGTTTACAGGTTCCTTCCAATCTTTCTTTTGTGTTGCTCGCCCTTCCTTTTCTTTCTCATGTCTTCACTCATTTTCTTTATATAGTATTTCAATTGGCCCTCAAAGCTCAGTGAAGCACTGGGACACACTTAATCCATTTTACAGACCAGGAAACTGAGGCCAATTCCAGTTGGCTGTGGAACTGGACTCAGCGTGCAGGGAGCCCTCACAACTGTGCTTTCCACCTTTCCTAAGGGACAGCCATGGGGCAAACAGAAGAAACCTCCCCATGAGGCTTCTGAGACTCGTTCTCAAGCACCTCTTCATCGTGGATGCTCCGCATTCTTTCTTCTCCCCCACCCCCATTCTTTACTGCCCCACTCTTCTGGGGAGCAGGTGGTAGGTAGGCTTCACACTGACTGTGCAGGTGCGCACTGCCCTGGGGTGGGGCTGAGTGGGAACTGGGGCGGGGTGGGTGTGGGCTTGCTTTTGGGCCAAGGCAGGAGCAGGAGTCATGACCCCTCAAGTGTGCAGGCTGTGGCAAGGACCGGATAGCGCCAGGAGCTTTGCTTAACCGCCGCAGGGGGTACCCGACAGTGCAGCACCCCTCCACTGGGGTGGCAGCACCCCTCAACCCCCACCCATCTCAGGGCTGCAGGTCCGCGCCCCTCCACCCAAGCATCCTTACACACCCACAGTCATCACCTCTTGTTTCCTGCCTGGCCGACCCGCGTCTTGGGGACACTGCAGAACCTCGCTCTCTGCAGGTGAGGCAGATCCCTGCTCTCTGGCCCCCTGCCCCAGTCCGAGACTCTTCGGGTGCACTCTTCCTCTGCACTGCTCTGGCCCCTTGAGCCGCTGGCCTCCTGACTGGCCACTTTGCTGAAGCTTCCTCTTCCTTCAGGTGCTCTCCTCAGACCTCTGGGAGCTTGGCTCTGGCGGCCCCACCCTTCCATGGTGCGTCCCGCCCCTCTGTAGCTCCCTGCAGCCCCAGCACCACTTGGCTCTCCCTGGCTGCCCGCCTGTCAGGTCGCTGCTGGGGCACCCTGCTGCGGGCAGCACAGTCCTGGGGGTGGGGGTGGGGGGAGCAGCTCCAGTAAAGTTTAATAAACCCCAGGTCAGT